CAGGATACAGTCTTCAAGGCCAGCGAGTTTGCAATCATCAACTCAAATAACCAAGATGACTTCCATAAGGAGACAGCTCTGGTCTGTAAAGATCGTGATGGACTTGCTTTGAACCTCAGATTACATTATTTCAAAATTCCAGACAGCGGTGGAGCTTTCAGAGTCACAGTTTACAGTCCTTATGTTATTCTAAATAAGACTGGCCTAGAGATCAACATCAAACAAAAATCGCTATTGCAGCAAGCAAAGACAGCAGCCGGTCAAGGATTCCATACTGACTCAGTTGATTCTGAACGACGCAAAGCACTGCCCTATATGTTCGCATATGGAGGAGATGATCAACGAAATCGTGCTCTATTGAAGGTCGGTGACTCAAACTGGAGTAAACCGCAAAGTTTGGATGCTATCGGTAGCAACGTTGATGTCATTTTACCTTCCTCAAAGAACAACACCGAAATTCATGTGGGTATCAGTGTCGAAGCAGGAGAGGGTAAATATAAGATGACGAAGGTTGTCACACTTGCTCCTCGTTTCGTTTTAAAGAATCAAATGAACGAAGAATTAAACGTCAGAGAGCCTGGTTCATCTGAACTTTGGACTTTGAAGCCACAAGCTTTGGAACCTCTTCATTTCCTTCAGAAGAGTCAAGTGAAGCAACTCACGATGTGCTTCCCAGGATTAAATAACCAGTGGTCGTCACCATTTACAATCTCGAATCTTGGGATTACACATGTGAAATTGGCCAAGGCTGGGCAACGACAAAAACTCATCAGAGTTGAAGTCCTCATGGAAAATGCTACAATTTTCTTGCATATCAGTGCTGAGACCAAGAATTGGCCATTCTCTATGCGGAATGAGAGTGATACAGAATTCATGTTCTTCCAAGCTAACCCTAACTTGGACGATGAAGATACCGAGGACAGATCCGGATGGAAACCAATCAGATATCGGTTACCACCCAGAAGTATTATGCCATACGCTTGGGATTATCCTGCTGCTAAACAAAAGGAGTTGATAATTGTTGCAAACGGAAAGGAACGCCACATAAAACTTGCAGAGATCGGTAATCTCATTCCTATGAAGATTGGAGGAGATGATCCCAACCCCAGGAACCAAAAAATCATTGATCTCAACGTCGCAGCAGACGGTCCGACACAAACTCTCATTCTATCCAACTACAAAGCATCGAAGAGTTTGTATAAGCAAAAGTCAAGAACAAATTCTTCTGTTAGTTTTGCTGGAGGGTTTGAGGTCAAGAGTCAAGATACTGCCGTCAACTTCAAAGCACAACTCAAACTTGGTGGTATTGGTATCTCTCTGGTCAATGCTCAACTCAGGGAACTTGCTTACATTACTTTGCGTGATATTGCTCTCAAATACGCCGAATCACCTCTATATCAAACGATCACTGCCTCTATTAAGTGGATACAAATTGACAATCAACTTTATGGTGGAATCTTCCCCATGATTTTGTATCCTAGTGTTGTTCAAAAGGGCACCAAGGAAACTGAAGCTCATCCATCTCTTCATGCTATGGTTACCAGAGTCAAGGATGATTCCTACGGAGTTATTTACATCAAATATGCAACAGTCTTGGTGCAACAAATGACTCTCGAAATTGATGAAGATTTTATCTTTGCCGTCTTAGAATTCTCAAAGGTACCTGGAGCTGCCTGGTCAGAAACACATGAAGGCGTACTTTGTGATGAAAGCCTCGACATTCCAGAACCAAAACAAGAGCAATCTGGTCAAGATATCTATTTCGAACTCCTCAATATTCAACCTATGCAACTTGATTTATCTTTCGTTCGCACCGATCGAGTCAATGTTGAAGACAAGACATCATCAAAGAATCCTCTGATGTTCTTCATGAACGTTTTGACAATGGCTATTGGTAACATCAATGATGCTCCAGTCCGTATGAATGCTTTGATGTTGGAGAATGCAAGAGTTTCTGCCGCCGTTTTGATGATGAATATCTCCAATCATTATTCACAAGAAGCACTTTATCAAGTTCATAAGATCTTAGGTTCAGCTGATTTCCTTGGAAATCCTGTCGGCTTATTCACCAACATCAGTTCTGGTGTTGCTGATATCTTCTATGAACCATATCAAGGTTTTATTATGAATGATCCAGAACAACTTGGTATTGGTATCGCCAAAGGTGCCACAAGTTTTGTCAAGAAATCGGTATTTGGTGTTTCAGACAGTTTTTCGAAATGGACGGGTAGTATTGCAAAAGGTCTTGCTGAAGCTACTATGGACAAACAATTCCAAGATCGTCGTCGTATGACTCGATCTCGAAATAGACCCAAGCACGCTCTTTATGGTGTTACGGCGGGCGCAAATTCCCTCATTAGTAGTTTTGCAAGTGGTGTAGGTGGATTAGCACGTAAACCTCTTGAAGGAGCAGAACAAGAAGGTGCTGCTGGTTTCTTTAAGGGTGTCGGTAAAGGTCTTTTGGGATTTGCCACGAAACCAGCTATCGGTGTCTTTGATCTCGCTTCAAATGTTAGTGAAGGTATTCGTAATACTACGACAGTCTTTGATGATAGCGGACTCGATCGTGTACGACTCACTCGTTTCATCGGACAAGATGGAATTGTACGCCCATACTCTCAACGTGAAGCACTAGGACAATTCTGGCTCAAACAACTGGATAATGGGAAATACTTTAATGAACAATATATTGCACATCTGGAATTGCCAAGGGAAGATGTGGTGGTTATGTTGACATATTCGAGGATTATGTTGGTTAAGAGTAAGAAATTGAGTAGTGAGTGGGATGTGCCATTGAAGGATATTCAAACGATTAGCAAAGAGAGAACGGGTCTGAGCTTGACATTGAGAGGAGGAACAAATGGTCCATTTGTACCGGTTGCGGAGGAAAGTTCGAGGAACTTTTTGTATAAGAATATTGGAGTGGCGGTTGGGGAGTTTAATAAGAAGTATAAAGCTACGGAGTAGTGGGAGCTTGTGGATAGAGGGGGTTGTTAGGAGGGAGATGGTATCTGTTAGAGGGAAATGGGAACTCAGAACGGGGTTGCATGATGGATGGCATGATGAAAATGATGATGGGTGGGAGGTATGATTGCTCGAAGAAATAAAATGGGAGTCGTGGGTTTGGTGGCGATGGATAGGAATACACATGGAAAATACACACGTGAAAATTAAGATACAGTACGAATAGGTACGGGTAGAGAATATAAATATCATATTGAGTTTTTTTTAATTTTGGGTTTTTTGTTACTGAATGGATGAGTGGTGTGTTGTAATATGTATGCGTTGTGATTGTTATGGAGATGGATGGGGAAGTTTAGAATGAACATATGATATGTTGTTGGTATTGTTGATTAGAAATAGAGATGATAATGGAGATGAAAATGGAAATAACAGTAGCAGTAGTCCTCACTGGCAACCAACCTACCTCACTTATCCTACGTATATAGAAAGTTAACCGGGAACAGTGATAAGGGGGGAGGAAGTAAGGAAATAAGTAAGTAAGGAAATGAATAACGAATAATGAAAAATAACTTGAGTTGATTAGAGATTGATTGTACAAAGTAGAAACCTAATACTCGTAGATGATTACTAGATGTATGTACGTATATTCATTCAGGTATGTGGGTAGGTAGGTAAATAGATAGATAAGTAGATAAATAAATAGATAGATAGATAGATAAATAGATAAGTAGATAGATAGATAGGTAGATAGGTAGGCAGGCAGGTTAGATGATAAATCCTCAAATAATCTTTAATTACTTACATATTATCTGAAGATTATTTAAATTCCTAATTGTCTGAATTGAAATACAACAATTAAATTATTGAAAAGCTTTACTAGTTAGTAAGTAGTTATTAGTAGTAGTCATTTCCTCCCGACTTGTTTTTTCCCCACGAAGAACCATCCCATCTCATCTCATCTCATCTCACTCAAATAAATCTCTCTCCACCCATTCAATTTTTCCCTCTTCCCCCTTCCATCTATCTTCCCCTTCCCAAAAAAAACAATCACATCCCCCTCATCCCTTCCCTCAAACTCCATCCCCAAAAAACATAAAAGTACAAAAGATACATCAACAAAATAAATTCCGGTACGGGGAATTGAACCCCGGTCTCCCGCGACCTTTTCGAAAGCTGGAAAGCTATCAATGAGAGGCGGAAATGCTAGCCACTACACCATGCCGGATTTTGGACTATTGTATTTTGTATACTAGAGGAGTAATAGAGGAATCTTATACTTTGTTATCAAAAATGGAAATGGAAATGGACGGTATGCGGTGTACTCGTAATGAGTGTAAAATTGTGGGGTAGGGTGGGGTTGGAGGAAAAAGAGTAAGATTAATAATAATACTAGTAGTTAATATCGTAGAGTAATTACTCTTGATAAATTTAATAACAAATCAATAGTAAATAAACTAATAAGATTTAAATATATTAAATAAATTTTTAGATATTTATTTATCTAGTTACAGTACTATTTAAACTTTTATTTCTCTAAATCGAAATAGAATTATTGAATTATTAAAGGACTTTATTACTCGAAATAATTGATTCTAATCTGTTTTTTCTCTTATAAATAATCTCTCTCTCTCTCTCTCTCTGTAGTATCCCCATGACTATCTAATAAGCAGACAAGACAAGACAGGTAATCTATCTACATACATCTACCTAGATACTACAACGACTTATTCAATAGAGTAATTATACTTGTAAATCTAGTTCTAAATCAAGTCAGCACCTCCTATCTAGAACCCACCTAGATAGTAAGTAAGTTAACATGAATATGAATATTAAAGTTTAGATCAAAATGAACATCCAAATCAAATTTATACTTCAAGACATACATACATGAACATGTATACCTAGTAGGTAAACACGAATTACCCTTTCAATAGAGATAAGAGTAAAATGAAATAGACAATCAAAAATCAAAGATGGAACTGATTGTCTTCACTACTTTAATCTCAAGAGTAATCTCTCTCGAAAAAGAGTAGTTATAAAAACGACGAAACCACTTAGATACAGACTCCCCATCGTCATTAACTAACAACTAACCATGATATAATATACCCACCCATACCTCTTCCCACCTCATGAATGGATAATCGGAATCTAATGTTCCTCATGAATCATGATATTCCTAATCCCCCAACGCCAACGCTCTCTAATAACCAATTGACCAACAATGTACACCTAATCAAACAAAGTAATGTAATGACTTTTCCCCTCAAATCAAAAGATTTTTCTTCCCTCGACCGCCAGCTTTTGATGATGTTCCATCATTAGTGTTTTGCCTTGACATTGGTGTTCCTCCAACTTCACTACCTCCTCTAGAACTTTGTTTTGACATTGCTTCTGCACCCAATTCTTCTCTCAAGTTGCTGAGCATTGTACCTTTATGGTCGCTTTTAACATAATAGGTTTGAGGTCTTCTTGGTGTGCTGACTGCTTCAAGAAGACTTTTTCCACCATTTTCCAAGTCAAGATTTTTACCAAACCCCCTTTCGTCGTTATATGTGCGACCTCTTCTGATAATTTCTAATTCGGCATTGATCTCATCAGGAGCCAATCCTTGTGGTTGATTGGCAGCATCTCCTTTCACATATCCTTTCTGCATATTCGAGGCGAGAAGTGGTGGTAATTTGGGGATTTGTTTCGTGATTGCTGCCATGTTTCCAGGATATGCTAAATCACTAAGAATATCAATTCCTGTGCCTGTATTAAAGTTTACTCCTCCCCCGCGTGTGCTCCTAGTCTGGTGTGATGGTTGACGTTCCATTTGAGGTGCGGATTGAGGAGAATCTGATTCATCATTCTCAACATCTCCAGATGTTGCATTTATTTTATCAGTGTCGGGGCTGGAATCAGATCTGCCATTTTGAGGACTGTTATCATCTTCGTATGGTGGATGTCGAACCATATAACTATATGCTGCTTGAGCTGCCTCATTGTATTTCATTCCGAGCTCTTTCTCCGTAAATAGACCTTCTATGCTATTTGCTGGTGCTTCGAGTTGTGCGGATGTGTTTCCGTTTCGCTCATATGTTCCCAACGGAGTATTACCGCCATTGTCCATACGTTGTCTTGAGGGAGCTGGAGATTCGTCGCCATCAATTCCTTTTCTCTTCCGTTTAGAGTGATCAAACATGTTGGGTAATTCTTCCGCTTCTCGACGATGCCTTGTAGCTCTTTTGGAATGCATCCCACCAGGGCTAGCGGGGTTAGCGAGACCAAATTTGCTTGGGTGTAAAAGTAAAGCATTGCTCTCTCCAATTTCAATTGACTCTTTATCTTTCAGCAAGTGTGCTTTCTTGCTATTGAGCTTATTGATCAAACGATCTCTCAAGGTTGACATCAAAGCTTTGTATTCCAAGTCCGCGAGTCGCATTCGATAGGCATAACTGGATTCGATTTCATTTGCTTTAACTTCGTAGTCTCTCTGTAAAAAGGACGTTAGCTATAAGCTCGTCGTAAAGAAAGTCAAGAGTCAAGGGAAACAATTGCACATACCATATGCGTAGTTAATGCGACGTCCCGTTCTTCCATGGCGTTATTGATTTCTCTTGCGAAAGATTCATACTCTTTTCCAGCAGCAGATGGATGATGACCAGCAATTCCTTTAACTTTCTTGATTCCATCTACAACTAATGGCTCAACCTCATTGCCGTCCGGGAGAGCGTATTTGCCATGAACGTCAGCTTCCTGAATGAGATTCATGTCGATTTGCAATCCTTTGAGTTGGTCGCGGTAATGATGATCTCTATTTGAAGCAAAGCTAACCGTCATTTCATGCAGTTTATCTTGCATTGCGGATCGACGTTTGTCTCTTTTGGATAGTTGATGCGGAGGTGGAGAGTTTGATCTTTGTTTCTCAACTTGTTTTCCGAATGTTGTCGGAGACATTTGAGGAGAAGGACTCATAGCCATGACTACCAGAATATTTTGCGACGCCTGTATATTTATTGAAGGTGAATCAAGAAGGAGTGAATGAGGACTGAAGTGTGAGGTTTTCTAATTGGGGAGTTTTCCGTTAAATTATATTTGTTTGTGGGTGATTTATTAGGAATGAGGAAAGAGTAGAACAGGATAAAAATAAGTAGAAGGGTTTTGAGGATTTTCAAGATGTTGACATAAGTTCCAACATGAAAGATTATTGACCACAATACCAGAGGAGATTGTTGCCCGGTTGATTTGTCGATAGATGATGATATATCAAGGAAGAGTTTGGGAAGAACAATTGAAGCATTTCATTCCTATAAAGTATAAAAGAGAGAGGGTGTCAGATGTCAGAGAGGGAGAGAGAGACGGAGAGGGAAAGACTGAGCAATGGAATCGGCAGATAGTATTGAAAATGGTTCTATGGCTCTAATCCAATCATCCATAGGTACCTGAGCCTCTTAGCCTCTCACCTCGCTCGTTACTATGCGCATGACGATAATGAATCCCTGCACGTGCCTGCTTGAAAATGGTCGGGTGTTTGTACCATCTACTACCGACGCTAATGCTTTTATGGCTTAGTGCGGATGAGAGCTATCTTATCTCCAGCTTATCGCTGATCTCTTCGTAGCAACTTCAAACTACATATTGATAGGAGTGTTGTCTTATATAGTAAATTCACTCTTCACCCTTCACTCCTCGAACCTCTCTTGATTTTGTTAGGCAGGTATCCCTTAATACTTCAGACGGAATTAATCATCCAATCATTACTCCTCATCTCTGTTCTATTTTTATATAGCGAAATTTAATCTTTAACCCTTTTTCCTCGCTTCATCTTGAGTGGAATCGTCCCTTTTCTGTTTTCCAATATCATGCATAAAATGTTTGGAACCAAACATTTCATTTTCACATGAATGTCTTCAAATCTTCAAAGTAATGAGATGTTCTGGACATAATATCAAGAGAGTTGTATCCATCTTACATTCCGACTCTTCTTCAGTCTAGGTATCGTAAACTACAGAGGTTCAATTAATGACGCTCCGCTGGGCCACTGCCGTGGAGGCTTCCTCGCTACGCTCTAGAAGAAATAGAAGAAGAAGAAGAAGAAGAAGAAGAAGAAGCGGATTATCTTGCGAGGCTCTAGCATCTTGAGTCTTTTCCAAATTTGGATTCGGTTCCGAATTTTCGGTTTCTCAATGTTTCAATAATTCTACTACTCTCCCAAGACTTTAGCGACTGGTGTCCTGTCCACTTGCATCAGAATAATAAGATGAACTAGCACTTCTCTGGGCCAGCCAAAACAATCACACGGGCATGAAATACTCTACACACAACATGAACCTATATACCCCGCAATCACAACTCTATATGAAGCCACTGCACGAAATATTATATTGCAGAAATGAAGCTTGCCAGAGTTTATACATTTTGGTGATCCAATTGGCATCAAATCATCAAGCCAGGTGCTATTTTCAGTCATCTACAATGTATTAGCAACATAAGCGATTCGGTCTAGATGTCCCCTATCAAATATGCATAAACCAAATGACGGGACGCGAGTTCAAGGAGAAGAGAAAATAGCTTTGGGTGGATGATTACAAACTCCATAATTCTACCTTTTCCTCGAGCTTCTACGAACACCTCGTGGCCTGCGCTGCTCAAGGCATACTCAAAGTCTCATGGTAGAGATTAAAGTTTGGAATGGTTATATTGTGATACAACAAGTGTGCACAGCCTTCCACAGCTTGTTGGTTCCAGAGGTATCTCACATCGCATAAAGGAGAACAAGATAGAATTTAAAGATCACGAGATAATTGTGGCTCTGCAAGCGCCTCCAAATTTCCTTCATTTTTTATCTTGGCCAGATCAGGGTCGGCCTTGCGAATCTCTTGCGCTTGAATTGCGGATGTTGTTCGATCGACTATTCAAATACAATACTGTATGACAAACGACCTAAAATTCCGTCTGTTTGACAGAAATCTTGGTCCGCTTGGCTCTTGGTATTGCAGGCCAAGAAAAGTATATCTTCATTTTTGCATGCCATACCCATCGACAATTTGGAAAGCTGGGACTGAGATCGCTGTTGATTGAACTTTTGGTAAGCGTATTCGTTTTGTGCAATGATCTTGTCATCGTACGTTCCAAAAATATCATGATGGCAGTGAAAAATGGCCAAGAGAAGTAATCTCAGGTCGACAATGGAAGGAGTTCTTCTCATATATAAATACTAGAGCTGTTCTCGTAACACAGTATCAAATCATCAAATCATCCAATCTTTTATACTCAGTTACTACATTCATTCAGTCAATATTTCACTGCATTCTTTCACCATGTCAAAATTCATTCTCGCCGCAACTCTTTTGTCAGCCGTTATGGCTTGTCCAGATCATGATCTTTCCAGCCAATCACTTATGAAGAGAGCTGATGGACCTGCCGATTGGGCATATGACGCTGCTTACAACTGGGGAATGATCAACGAGAGTAAGCTTTCATTCACAGTCCTCCATCTCATGCTCCTATTCTAACATCCCATCAGACTACACCACTTGCCAAACAGGCACTCGACAATCCCCTATCCATCTCACCACCAGCACCGGTTACTCCAAAACCCACACCCCAACCTTCAACTACTCAAGCTCCACCGCAGGCTCCCTCTACAACTGGGGTTATGGTCCCGCCTTCTCCCTCACCTCCAACGTCACCGATCTCAGTGGCAACCCATCCATGACCTTCGACAACGAAACCGTCTTCCTCAAAGGCTGGCACATTCACGCACCAGCAGATCACGCCATTGATTCTGCCCGTTCCAAAGCCGAACTCCATTTCGTGCACGCCACTGCCTCGGGCGCCGAACGTGCCGTCGTCGCATTCATGATTGATCCCGTCCCCTTTGGCACCGTCGCCAACTCCACCTTCTTCGACTCATTTCCCCTCTCATCCATCCCCTCCTTCTCAGACGCAACGACTCGCACCCCCCTCGATCTCGATCTCAAACAGGCACTTACAGAGATCAACAACGCGAAGGATTTCTGGACCTATGAGGGAAGTCTCACTTCTCCCCCTTGTACAGAGGGCATGCGATGGTTTGTGGCTGGAAAGAAGATGCTGGTCGGAACGGAACAGATGCAGGAGATTTTGGCGGTTAGTACCTATAGTGCCCGTGAAGAACAGGGTATCTGGGGTCACAATATCAATGTTTAAATGTGGCGAGATGAGAGTAGATGAGATGTTATGAAGGCTGGGAGTTGATTGGTGTTTGGGGCGTGGGAATAAAGATTAGGGGCCGAGGAGTGAGGAGTGGGGAATAGAGCGATCGTAAAATGTAAATACGATGCGGCGGCATATTTTGATTTCTAGACTTGGAAAAAGAAGGGTTTAGCATACAGGTGGTTTACTTCATTTCCTTTTGGGCGTTTTGCATATTTTTAGTACATATATATCTATATCTATATCTATATCTATATCTATATCTCAACTTCCATCACACATCCAAAACTATATATACGTCCCTAAATATATACATATATATACTCCTCGCCTCCTCGCCTCTTCTTTACCCACCCCACCCAAGTCAACTCAACTCAATCCAGCCTCATTGAATCTCTAAATTCCACATCCACGTCCATATCCATATCCAGAACCCCATCCCACTTCACCTATCCCACCCCAAAATAGATTCAAACACCTATCAATATCATATCCAACATACACCATACAATCACATAGTATTTATTACCTCTAAGCTTCTCTCTCTCTCTTAGGGCTAGTTTGGATATACAAATCCACACTGGATCCGCTAAATATTCCGCTCTTTTTGAAAGCGGATTTTGAATTCATGTTTGGATGTCAAATCACGGATTCCATCAAATAATCCGCATTTCAATGAATTTAGTATATTTCGAGATAGGGAGGAGATGGATCACTCTAAAATGATACTAAATAATCCGCGTTTTTCATCAAATTTGTATAGGAAAATAAGAGTGCAGATTGAAAACAAAAACTAGAAAAAGTAGTCCTTGTTTTCAATTTAACAAATAATCCGCGTTTTTATAGGCTCTTATAGGCCTTTCATCTTATATCCATATAGTATTATAATGATATTAGTATTTCAAATACCTAAGTTTATAGGATATCTTTATTTTTCTTCAAATCATCTCTGATTTCGATTTAAATTACTTTATATTTCTATTCCCTATATATTAGAATATATATAGCTTAGTTTAAAAGTAGATTCTTCAATATTCTTTTTATTATAATTTTAAATTTTATTAATGATTTAGATTGTAAACTGCCTTTTTCTTATTTATAATAAACGATAATGAGATTGATAATTCTGAACAGTTTATTTCTATTTTGATTTATAATTTAGCTGTTGTTATTGGCTCTTTTTATTGTATTCCAATTTCGAAAAAAAGAATTGGTATTTCTGGTGAATTTAAAATACAATCTCTTCTTGATTCTAAATATTTTTAATATTATTAAGAACAATTGTATATGTTTTTATATACTTTTCGATTTTTGATTGAGTTTTGTTACAAAAAAACAAAGCTATAATATTTTCAATATACTTCAATTGATCAAAAACTATATGTATTTTTTTATATTGTAGATTAGCATGGAACTATATATAATATAGCTAAAGCCTTTTCTTATTCTGAAAAAATAATCTATAAATATGAAAAACACCTTATATAAATCTACTTATTAGTTTATTCTAATATGTTTTAAGATAGTTTTATCAAGTTTTAAATATTATAATAATATTATATTTATTAATAATAAAGCTACTGGATTCAACTATACAATTCGCTCTTTCTTGAGTAGTAGAAAATGAAAAATATTATATATATTTTGCAAATTGCTTAGAAGCTTTTGATAGTATTTTTATTCTAGTAATAATATCTTTTGAAGATCGATTTGCTTTATTTAATTGAAAAGAATATACTATATAAAATATTTTTGTAATAATTACTTTCAATTTACAATTCTGCTATATATTAACCAGTTGGAAAGGTTTTGTAAATGATTAAAAGGTGCTTTTAGATATTTTGATTTCAAAAGATTTATGAATTCCAGAAGATTATTATATCTAGATGATATAGGATATGTAAATACTAGGTAGGTTCTTATTTTATTTAAAGGGATAAGATATTATCTACAAAAGTAATTGGAATTCAATAAGATATCCAAAATATTAAAAGAGCTTTTCAACCTTCGATATTCTTCTTTACGAAATAAGGTTGAGAGAATTTTTGGAGTATTCAAAATATACTTTTTATTTCTAATATAATAACAAAAATACTTATATACAATTCAAATACATATAGTTTATACTTTATATACTTTATATAACTTTATTCAATAAAATAATTTTGAAGAAGATCCATTCGAAATTCAATTTGATTATATTATCAATCGTATTTCAAGCACTATGAATAATATAATAATAAATTCAAATAATAATGAATTAGATTTTATTTCGTTATAATCTATAAACTACTTTCAATAAGGAATGTAGAGGCTATATGAAGAGATTATTATAAGATAAAAAGAGTTCGAAAAGTGTGAGAGAAAGAAAAGCAATATTGTATTAAATAGAATTTGATAAATATATATAATTAGAATAAAAAGTAATTATTAGGGTTTCTCTATTTATCATTATCTTCTACTATAGCTTTTAGTATTTCTTTGAATTCTTTAAGGAGTTGAGAGAGATCTTCTTTCTATTCTATATAATGGAGTAGATTTCAAGCTTGCTTATATTTTATTCCATTTTTAGAAATCCAAAATCCATATCTTTTGGATTATAGCTTTTATTAAGGTTCATTATTCTTTAGATTCAGGAAGCTTGATATCACTCTTTCCTTCTAGCTTCAAAATATCAGAATTCTAAAAAGCAAGATTTCTTTAAACAATATATTATTAATAATTGAATATTTTATAAGAAAGTTTATTAGAATATAAATATACTCTATTAATATATTAATAATTTGATATAATAATAAATAAGGATAATAAGTAAAAAATGACTAAAAAGAAATAGCTAATAAGAAAAAATCAAAATAAATCTATTTAGATAAATCTTTCATTTATAAAAAATTCAAAGATTCTTTATTAATTTTTTTGTTTAGACTTTTTAAATTAATCATAAACTATTCTATACTAGCTTTCTAAGCTTTAATCCAAATCAAAATTCTAGAAAGTCTAATTGTTCTAAACTTATATATTAGTATTTATAGAATTAATAAATATTATATCTTTATATTTATTTTAATTCTTAATTGATATTCAAATCTTTCAAATCAATCTTTTCAAGCTTTTTAACTTTATTATTCTCTTTTTTATTATTAGATTCCTTTTTTTTCTTTTCCTTTTTCTTATTAATATCGACTTTCTAATCTTCAAAATCTATTTCGGAATTATTTGATTCAGATTCTGATATAAAGTTATTATTATTTGAACAAGGTTTTTTGCTTTTAATACTTTTTAAATAAAGTTAATTAAAATCAGATTTTCATTTGAATCTATATACTAGGATTGTTGTATTTCGATATTCAATTGAATTTATGCAATCATTTTATCTTATTTATTCTTTAATATCTTTAAAAAATCAGAAGTTTTGCAAAGTACTTTCAAAGTATAAAAAATCTAATGCTTTTTCCTATCTTTCTCTTTTTCGACTTCTAATTCTTTAAATATCATTTTTGCTTTTCGATTGTATGCATTTCTAGCTTTTCGCTTTTGTAAATATTCTTTTTGTTTTTTCTGTAGCTTTTTCTATTAGATTTAGTTACTATTGATATCTTTTTAATTCTTTAAAGCTTAGAAGAGATTCAATATTATAAATATAATGTTTATTATTATTATTGTTATTATTATTTCTAAAATATATTATTTATATTATTTTGTAATATTTTTTGTATTCAAATAATTATATTCTATGAGAAATAAGTAGTATGATTAATTGAATTATATAATATATAATATATTAATTTACAAACACATATTTCTAAACATTTAATTTTTCAACATTTATTCTTTTCGCTCTTATTCTTAAAGCTTTTTAGATATATATTCCTTGAATATTTGAACCTTTTTTATAATAAACTGAAATAATTCAAATCTAGGCCTTGAAAGTACTACATTCCAGGAAATCCTATAGCTGTAATATAAACTACAAATGTACTATATAGGGAAGCTATATTATATATTAATATCAGAAAGAGATTAACAAATAAATAAGAGCTAGATATAAATAAAAGATCACTTTTTTTTAAAAATAAGAGTGTAAAGAAAGTTTCAAAAGCAAAGATTCAAAATATAAGAAAGTAGTTTAAAAAAGGAAAAGCAGAAATTATTAAAAGAGTTTATTAATGAAAAGCGGGGAGTAAATAAATCTTTTCTTGATTTCTAAGCTTCTTTTTTATTAATTAAATATAGCAATTATATTACAAGAAATTAAAAAGTATCAAAAATCGATTGAATTGCTCTTGAAAAAAGCCCTTTTTCAATATTTAGTTAAAAAGATTTCGGATCAATTTGCACTTAATAAAGAATGTTGGAAATGAAATACTACTACTCTTATAGCAATTCAAAAGGCAGCTGAATCCTTTATGATTACTCATTTTGAAAATATGTTTTCTATTCTTTCTATTTATCAATTAAATAGATTATTGATTTAATTTATAATACTATAACATTGTGCATTTCATATAAAGAGGCAAACTATTAAAAACACAGATAGCATTTTCTTTGAAGAATGATGGAGCTAGCAACCCCTGTTATTAATAGATATTATATCTTAAAAAGCTAAACTTTACAGTTTTCTCACTAGCTGTTTCTCACTAATTGTTTCTCATAGCCATTTCTCACTAGTCATTTCTCATTAGCTATTTTTCATTTGTTATTTCTTATTAGCCAGCTATTACATACTTATATTCTTTATTTCGTTAATCACTATAAATAAATAAATAAATAAATATATTCTTTATTTCATATATCTAGAGCTAGTGAATAGATATCATTCATACTCATATATTGTTAATATCAAATAAGATAAAGGTATTAAAAGATATAATATTAATATCTAATTGAATAAATATAAAGATTATATTAATAAAAATATATAATAAAGAGAACAGAATGAATAGAACTATCAAATCAAAAGCTATTAGAACTTGAAAGCTACTCTTCATTTAAAGCTTGTTATAAAGAAGCGGATAATAAAGGCATTTTATTATTTTTCTTTTTGTACTATTCTTTAAGCTCTTTATAAATCTTATCCACA